GCCATTCTTTTTCAATAATTAAATCACATTCATCAATTGAAAAATGTAATTGAGCTAATTTTGGTAAACCATGTGTTAACCATTCATCACATTTACTCGAGTAAGAATATTGATATATTCGATATAATTAATATAATCCATATTTTAAAATAAGGATGGAACTGATTCAACTAAAAATAATCTTTCATTTATTCGTCGTAAATGTGATGAATGGTTAACACATGGTTTACCAAAATTAGCTCAATTACATTTTTCAATTGATGAATGTGATTTAATTATTGAAAAAGAATGGCAACCATTTTTAAATGAACAAGCTCGAACAGTAAATTATTAACCACATTAAAAAAAATATATAGGTCATTCTGATGTCTTAAGTACTATCGTTTTGAAAAACAAAAGTAAACGGTTGCACGTAAAAGTGTTATCAGTCGATAGAGAACATGTCGATGTGTAAAATAAAATGAGTTTGTCAACTATTAATTTTTTTCTTTTGTTAAATTTCGAGGTGAAAATTTGTTAGAAATTTAATAACAAATCTATTTCTACCTTATTTAAACAAAAACAAATGAATTCGCGAAATGTAAAATGCTTTTATAAGCGTTTTAAAGCATTCTTGTACTAATAATCTATAAAGTCTTCGTTGGATTTTTCAGAAAATTATTAAGAATATATTTTATAATAGGGAAATTTCTATCAGCTTCTATCGCAATCAAATTGCAAGTGTATCCTCTACATTCACATTTCATCTATCTAGTGTTTCAAATACAGATCATAACAATAGGATATTCAGATTTTCAAGTCATGAGCAGGATGCTGCAAACTAGTAGAAAGACATTTGACTATATTTTCCAGAATATGTTCTTTAGAAGCAACTAAGAGGTTCCATATTTGCCGCTGGAGTTGTGCTATTGGATTGGAATTTATAATAAAAGAAAGCAGCTCTAACTCGTTGTAGTTTGGTCAGGAGTAGTAGAGAGCTTGTTGGACTGGATCCACACTTGAGTTCCAAAAAACATTTCATAAACTGAATCCGGCTGTGAAAATTTTGAACCCGACAGGTTTCAGTCAGAAGGATAGGGAAAATGCAATGAGACAAATTATAGGTTATACTCCAATGAATGCTAATAAAGTGTAAATTACTCAATAAGAGAAATAACTAGTAATTTGCAGTTTTCAGCAATCGAAAATATTTAAATTTGTGAATCTTATTGCGGAAAAAGTTTAGACTCAACATGTTTATTAATTTTATAGTAAGGTTAAAATGGAAGTGAGGCACTTGTACCTGGTTCTGAAATCATTAATAGGAATTCTTTTTTTTTTTTTAAATAAAACGATACTTTTTCGTTTCAAGCTAAAAATATATTGAAAAATTAAGAAAAGACTAGATTATTTTCTGCAATGTACGCTAACGGGAATAGATAGAAACTTAATTTTAGCAGTACATATAGAACACAATCTACAGATACATCGATATTAATTTCGACTAGTTTAATCAAACAGAAACTAAGAAATAAACAAGACCATTTTTGCTAGTCAAACAGTACACAGAACACCAGAATCGTCTATATATAATTAACTTAATATCTTATGTATTTGTTTTTGTTTTTTTTTCTAGCTTATGTCTGAAACAATAAAACTTCAACAAGAAGCAATCTATGAAATGCTTTCAACTGAAGTATCTTATATACGTCAAATTTTAACAATGACTGATATATTTATGACAAGCATAAATATATTAAAATCATCTCAACGTGATGGAATATTTAATGATATTGATATGGATAAATTATTTTCAAATATACAAGATGTACTTCATGGAAATTTATTATTTTGGAAAGAAATTTTATTACCAATTAAACTTAAACTTCAACAAAGTGGTTTACCAATGAGTCCATCCGATTTAAAAAATGGTTTTATTAATGTAAAAAGAAAAACGAACATAATTATCATAAGATTATTTCTATTTTTTCTTTTTGATTTTTCTTAGTTTGATTTTTATTTTAAACCTTATCTTCATTATGTTCTTGATCAAAAAACAAGTGCAGAATATTTTAAACAAAAATTTTCTCGTGATGATTTATTTCAATATTTAATTACTGTAAGTAAAACGAACTTTGTTTTTAAATACAAAACAAAATTTTTATTTTTGTTTTTGTTTTTGTTAGTGGATAGAAGCTAATTTTACTAATCGTTTATCATTTTCGGATTTAACTATTAAACCATTACAAAGACTTACAAGATATAAATTATTACTTGAAGCTATACAAAAGAAAACACATGATGCTCAACCAAAAAATGATCTACAAGAAATGGTAAATAAGAAAACAAAAAACTTTAATTTATGATAAAGTTTTACAAATGTGTTTAATCTGTAATGTAATTCTGAAGATGTAACTATTAGATCGAATAGCAACGAGAGTAGACTTTTGAATCGAACTTCGTTGAATTGGTCGTAAAGAATTTTTTTTGTTCCACAGTTACATCAGTATAACAGCCAAGTATTTCTATTCTTACATAGTAATAAGTTTATTCTTTATATATTAAGTAATGAATAGACATCATGTATCGAAGTGGAGGGATTGATTCGGGCTAGGACAAACTCATGCACATATTCTAGTCTTAATTATGTAACTGGATATGTTGTTTCTCGATGACGTTCTCTTCAAATATCCTTATATTTATATTTAGTTGAATGACAGATTATCTTGTTGTGCTGTCTTGCTTTGCATAATCTTTTCCAACTAATCAAGACTTCTTATAAAAAATAAATATCCATAGAGAAAACAGCTGATGCCTATGTTTAAATTCAACATACATCTGTTACTGACATATCAAAACTATAGCATATATACACACATAGAATCTTGAACGGTACTTTGAATACACGTATTATTGTATAAGTATGAATTTCAAGTATAAACAACACTGTGCTATTGATGCATAACAAAAAATAAATAAAATACTTATGAGAAGATAAAGTTTAGAAAATCGAGACACACTAATCTTCAGATGTTTGATATACGGTCAAGCTCGGTACAAATCTATTAATGAAAAAAAAAAATACTACTTTATAAATTCATAAATAAGTTTCCGAAAGATATGCTCATATATATGTTAGTCAAAAAACTAAATTTAGTGTCAACTTTTAGTCATTGAATGAAAAAAAACGCCTCCGTTCAAAAATTATTGTACGGATTTAATGATATTTAAATTTTAACGAATTTTATAGTGAGATGAATAAATAATGAAGAAAAAAAGATGCTCGAATGTTGCCTAATCTTACGAAAGAATATTCCCAAATGAACCGCACTGTTTATATTCAGATTGTTCTCATGTGTAAGAATCCATTAGATTAGATTAAATTCAAATGAGATTATGTTGTTATGAAGATTTGACTGAGATGTTGACTTTTCCGTAGGAGGACAATTTTCAAGTAAGATCATTGCTTCGAATTTCAATCGTAAAACTTCATCAATATGAGAGTTTCTCTTAGACTAGATAATGAATGAAATTTAATCATATTTTGATATTGGATCTCTGATGAGGAAACATTCCCAAATGTGACTTTTCATTTTCAATCGGTTTTATACCAGTCTGGAGAGGTCAATGAGTTAGTCACAATGACATAATGCGTACTTAATTCTCATGATAGTTTAGTTCCCAACGTTGAAAATTGTAACACAATATGTGTCTTAATTGACTATACGCATTTACATAATGAACATAAATAGAAGTGTCTAACTACGTCTATACATACTATGGATATACAGAACTGACATATTTTTTCAAAAATCATTTACTTTCAATTACACGTTTATCTGTTTAGAACATATATAGTTAAAGAATTCGTTGATCATACTTCAATTATTTGCATTATTTTTTGTACTTTTTCACCTAAACATAGGAGAAAACAGCTAATTAGAATGCAGGCTATTTAAAACAAGTTATTTGACAAGACTGTTATTATCACGCCTTTCATATAGTATTCGAAAATAATCTAGATCAGTTTTGAAAAAAAAACATCCTTGATCTCCTTGCATTCATATTAATAATAATATTAAAATATTAGACATATAGACGCAGTTAGAACTTCTATTTATGTTAATGGTGTGATTGTGACCTATCAATTAAGGCGCAGCTAGCATTAGGGCGTTCAATGGTAAGAATTAAATTAACATAATAATTAATTTTCCGTAATAACAACTTATAGTCATTTTTTTTGTAGTTGAGACCGACCTAACTCTTCAAAGACATTTTATAGACAAGAACACTTTATGCCGTCGTGATTAACTCATCGAGCTCTACCAACTGCCGTAAAGTCTATTGAAAATGAAGACTAATACTTGACGATCTTCCATCATGAGATATAAATCTTTAAAATTATCAATATTTTGACAGAATATCCATCGAAAATTTATATCTTGAAAATATCATATCGAAAAATGATGAAACTTTACACATAAGCTAGTCTAATCGTCGTAGATGCTCTGAATTCAAGGTACCCGAAAGACTACATTGCTGCCAGTATGCAACAGAAATTTTTGAAATGTTTAGTTCTTGATTCAAGAATACTTATAAGTATTCAATCGGGCAACTTGTTGGAAAACATTTTATACAATGCTATTGAACTTCATAAATACTCATGTAACTTTTCGGATGACTTAAGCTCAGTACATTCACTACAAAAACAATATTTTCACATTAATGAAGTTTAAGATTAAAATCTGAAAAGATAATTTTACTCGAAATTTGAACTTATACAGGACAAATTCGATGTCATAAATCCGTTAGAAAATATTCTAATCTAACAAATTTCTACATATGAACGCAAACGAAATGATTCACATCGAGAAATATTTCTTTGTTAATGATTAAATTTTTACTTGTTCTTTTCTATTATAAATGTATATTTGTTTAGATTCAAAAAGTTGCTACATTTGTAAATCGTGTTAATTCAAAATTACATAATCAAGAACAAGAAGAACGTGTTCGTCAGATTAATGATCGTATAGGTCCATATGAAAATGTATTAGCACCACCTGAACTTACTTCTGTATGTATTAAGTAGTTATTTTTATCTTTTTTTATTTTCTATTGTTATTTATTTTTAATATTTATTTAAAAGATTCTTCAAGAATATAATCGTGATTCAATGTCAAATCGATTAAATCTTCTTGAAGATATGCCATTACATGTTCGAGGTTATCGTCGTCAAATAATTCAACAAGGTCCAATGAAAATGAAAGATTCAAAAAATAGTCAAGATGTTTATTGTTATTTATTTTCTGATATGTTTCTTATAACAAAAGGTAGTAAACGAGGTGGTTCAACAAATAATTCATCATTATCAATGATAAGTAATGATGGACAAACAAATCGTACAACATCGAATATAACAAATAAAATTCTTAAATCCCCTATACGTATTGATCGAATTGATGTGCGAGAATATGATCGTCGTGGTGGAAGTGGTAGCAGTAGTAGTAATAGTGCAGAACCAAATACTGTAAGTATAAAAAGAAAAGAAAATACTTAAAAAAGAATCTATCTTTGTAGCTCAAATGAGAGACCATATCGTAAAACTTATGAATACAAAATATTAGATTTTTATGGATAAATTTGGAAAAAAGTCTCGAAAATCATAATCCTCTAACTTTTATAGTTAGAACATAAAAATAAACCAATGGTTTTTGGAATTTTTTTTTCTATCTCTGAGTCAAAGAATGTCTCAAATGATGTAGAGAAAAATTCTCAACAAAATGGACTATATCATTAGTCATTATAATAAGTTTTAGTAATCGATTATGTCTTCACAAGGGAAGAAAGTCTATCCCCTGATCGTCATTCTTTTGCTAGTAATTTGCTTCTAACTTCAAGGAGTCATGACTTTCCAAAACAAAAAAATAGTAAAGATCACAGTTGTTGCGCTAAATAGCAAAACCATACAAAGCTATTAAAATTATTTTCGTATTTGCCAGTTTTTCACAGCACGGATTAATATCAAAGCCAAATAATAGTATATTTGAAACCAGTACAAGAATCTACATGAGATCGAATTTATTTTTCACGATAAACTCGCCTATACTCCCCCTCATGGTCAGGTTTTTATAAAAAAAAAAAAAAGGAATTTTTCTAAAATGCATCATCTCTGATGCAGTTGTTTGTGCTAATTTCCAATATGCCATATATTTTGCTCCAAAGATCACCTATTTATATCATTTCTGCACGAGTATGAGAAAAGGTCAATTGTCTTAATATAAAAAAAAAATGAATAGCCTTAAGGCTTGGAGTCTGATGATATCAAAATGAGATAAAAATGATTATTTCATTTCTTCTTATGAAAATAAAAAAAGGCTGATCTAAATGTTCATAAGTAAATTCAGACTATCTTTACTTAACCTCATTTTTTGCTACTTAATAGAGCTTATATAAGATGAAAGAACATGTTGATACTCAGTTATTGTTGCTAACCATGAATCTGGAGTCAGATTCTTATTTGGAACAAATCTAGTCTATATTGTACGCAATGGTAAATCAAAAAAGTTATCGGTGACTATCAATGTGATCTACTACAACTTATTATAATGACTACTAATATAGTCGAGTTTGTAGAGAAATTTTTTCTGCATTTCTTAAGACATTCTTCGACTTAGAGAGAGAAAAAAATCCAAAAAAGAAAATATTTTAGCGGCGCATG